GTCGTCGACGTCGACGGCGTTCGCTCGCTGGGCTCTCGGTGTCGCGCACGCCTGATATCGTCTTACGGGACACGAACGAATTTCTTTTCTTTTTCTCTTCTTTTTTCTCCCTCTTCAGTTTCACCCACGAGGCAAGACGTCGCCGAGTCAAAGGCTCGTGAACGCTTGCTCGCGGTACCGCGAACCGGTAACGAAGCGGGACGATTTCTAAATAACCTCGAAATAGAGTATAATTAGGGAGAAATTTAATTACGACCATTCAACGCGACGCGGCTACCGGAATGTTTTGTAACGCGGCCCGTGTAATTAAGTGCGCAAGACGTTTCAGCGAAGAGGGAGAGAAAGGGTGAAAGAGGGGAAACCGGGTCGCGTGAAACGATACGAATATTTTTCGTGTTAGATACGAGGAATTATTAAGATTCGTGGTAACGTTGATAAAGCGAGATGTGCTGTTGAATGCAGGAGGAAGTAGAATTTAAGGAAACTGTGACGTAAGGAATCTTAGGGGATCGATTCCTTTCCTCTGGATGGTTCTTCAAGTTTCGCATTTCGTTTCCGCGTTACGTCCTGTCTCGATCGTTAACCCTTTATCGAGGAAACTTCTGGCGCGCAAATTTTTATCCATTTCACAGTGGGCGAGATGTAACTCGCGACTCGGTGTCGTTCATTTCACATCTCTCTTTGGACGGAGAATACGTTACGCTTTAAAAAAGAATTTTTGTCATTTTTCTGAACACCTCGAAACAATATTGAACAACAGAGACGCGAAACGCCTCGAATTGTAAGTTGTAAATATTGAAAAACGGAGACGAGAGATATCTCGTCTAAAGAATGGAATGGATAAAAATCTCTTATAAAGATATTTCTGTGCACAGGAAAAGATTAATTAGATTTATTCGATTGATTACTTAAAAAAGTGCTCATTGGACGAAAGAATATTCAACGCTTGCATAAAAGTAAAAATACGACAGCGTTATTTTATTTCTAAAGCGCCGAAATAAATAACAAATTCTCCGTGTTAGACGGGCGTATGTGTGCGCTCTTCGTAGCGAAAGGATTATCGAATGAATGGTTGAAAGGAAAGAAATTGCCGAAACTTCTACCAGAATCTATTATCGATAACGAAACTATGGTAAAAGGAAAACATCAAACTGCACTCACAATGGAGTAGGAAATATTAAATGAAATGGTTGAAACATCGCGATGGGTCACTGCGAACAATGCCATGCTCCAATCCCTTGCCAAAAATTTTTGGAGCAAGCTAGTTTTTTTCTTCGAACGAGAAAAGCCTTCAATGCGGAATTTCACCTGCATTTGCGTTCTTTCGTTATTTCGCTGTTCTCTTCTCTTCGTTCGATAAATATTCTCTTGCCTCGAACGAGGAAATTTTGATGGCAAAAAAAAAAAACAGAAAAAAGAAAGAGAAGACTTGGTGAATGTGTAAAATATAATTACATCGATTTGATCTCAGTGGATAGATCGCATTAAGATGAAAGAAAGAAAGAAAAACACTTGTGAAACTCTTTCTACCGATCGGTACGCATGCACTGAGGGACGCTGTGTTTGCTGGCACGTGCTACGAAAGAGTACTCATTTTCACCGTATTCCTACGAGAGGGCAACGAGCATTCAGGATTACAGAAAGTCCTCTTCCAACTATCAGATTCGCTTTGCGTTCGTTTGCGCGAGAACGGGTCGTTTCATTGCTACCTGTAAAGACGTTGAAGAACTCGTTGACAATCGTGCTTTTTTATCGCACTATTGCCATTAGTCGTTTAGCGTATTATTGCACGTTGTAGGCTGGGTAAATAATTTAAAGAAGCATTACACGAATATAAACATAGCACGGTGTTGTAAAGTTACATTCGTAACGTTGTTATTCTATTGTAACATTAACACGCATTAAACACACACTTTATGGACGTTATTGGCAGTAAAAAATTCAAAGGGTATCTAGTAATAATTTAAGGCTGGTTTTCATGAGAATTGGGAAAAATTAAAAATCACTTCGATCAGCTGTTATAACATTAATACACATTAAACGCTCAATTAATGGACATTATTGGCAGTAAAAAATTCAAAGGGTATCTAGTAATAATTTAAGGCTGGTTTTCATGAGAATTGAGAAAAATTAAAAATCACTTCGATCTGCTATTGTAATATTAATACACGTTAAACACACGGTTTATGGACATTCATAGTAATAAAAAATTCAAAGGATATCTAGCAATAGTTTAAGGCTGTATTTCGTGAAAATTAGAAAAATTAAAGGTTACTCGAATAAGCTATTATAACATTAAAGACATTAAACGCACATTTCACGGACCTTATTACTAATAAAAAATTCAAAGGGTGTCTAGTAATAATTTAAGGCTGCGTTTCATGAAAATGATGAAAAATCAAAGGTCACTCGTGTCAGCTGTTACATCTCGCGCGGCTTATTAAAGTAAAAGTCGGATCCCTCTGAGAGGTAAAGTAAACGCGTTGCAGGGAATCGTAAAGGGAGTACGGCATAAAGAAGAGAGGAAATTTCGAGAGCAGAAGCGTCATACGGGCGACCGAGCCCATGGCCGTGAGTGGCTGGTCGCATAACCGCGGCAAAAGAGCCCCGCCAGAGCTGAAATTATTGCGTTTTCTTGGCCCAAGTCCAAACACCGACAACTAACAGCCGTGTGATTATTGCAACACATTCTATACTGGCCTACATCGATATGACGAAGATCGTTCGTTCGATATTTCGAATCGTCGATAGTTTCGATATGTTCGATAATTTCCGCGTTCTGCAAACATGGCGGAACATGTGACGCCGATGCATAGAACGATCGGGGGAGGGGGAGGGACGAATGACCGAGTGACAGTGACAGGTTAAAATGAAATTAGACGAAGATTGATCGACTTTAATAATGACCTACTCCGCGTAGAATAACGCGGTTGTATGGCAAATGAAAACGTACAGGGTACCACCACGGACCAAAGTTCCATTGCACGTGGTCGAAACTCCAACAAGTATCATTAGCATCCCTTTAATAATCACGCGCGATTACATCGAACGTAATCTTGTGCTCGCCGTGCAAACACGCGACCTCTCTCGATTAACTACGTGATTCAAGGTCAAGCGTTGTGCGCAACTCGAACACGGACTAGAAAAACTAACAATAACAACCAGTTTGAGAATGTCTTTCTAACCACGGTTGGTTATATATCGATAATCTGAGATCGACGAATAAATTACGCGTATTCACTCTCGTTTCGTTGATCATTGTCGCACGTGAAACTCAATACGTTCGATGTCAGAGAAAATGTAGGGTTAAGTGGGAGAGAAATAGGTATTAAAGAGGTATGCAACTAACAGCACGTATCGCCCCTCCCATTGGACGATTCTCGATTTTACTTTGAATCGACAAGTTCAGAGGGTTGCTTTTGTTTCTGATAGAATAGGAGAGCTTACCACCTTGCTTACGAACTGGCATCCTGTTTGGCGACAAGTATATCCTGGTGCACGTACGTCAGAACACAATGTTGTAGGTAAAAAGGGTTGACGAGAGAGAGAAAGAGAGAGAGAGAGAAAGAGAGAGAGAGAGAGATAGAAAGGGAGAGAAAGAAAGAGAGAATGATTGAGTGAGTGTGTGTGTGAGAGAGAGAGAGAGAGAGAGAGCACAGCGTGAACGGCACTACTTTATGGAAGGGAGAAGAAACGGGAAAGAAAGTAGCACAAAGCACGGCGTGTGTCACTTCGATACTCCACGATCGCGCACGGTTCACTATTGTCACGCGAATCGACGACCTGTTTCACGGTTGGCGTAGACGGGCATGTACGCGGCTCGGCACGTCACTCGCGAGACCTCCCGGTGGCCCGTCGAAACGTGGTAAAACGAAACGGATATAAACACAGGCCGCCACCACTCGGCAACGGGCAATATGGCGTCGCGCTTAGTCTAGCAGCCGGAAAACTGACTAGTCGCGAGAACGCCACCTCCGATTGGTCGATTGCACCATGCGTGACGTCAGGTTGTCTCGTGACACACTCCCCTGTGAAAGCAACCCCTGGTGGCTACACCGACAGACGCACACATATCAACCCTCCTGGTATATTGAACAAAAATTTACATACGATATTTGAGAATGACAGATTTTCATTAGAAATCGTATATTGTGGAAAATAATCATTCTATATCGTTCCAACGGATCTGTTATTTTAATGTCGATAATACAGAGTACTTGAATATCGATGGCTTATTCGAAGCTGATATTTGAATCTTCCTGAGTTTCCAATGTGTGTCGCGAGCTAACAAGACATCGTACAGTGCCATCTTACGATATCAAATAGAGAACGTAACCTATTGGAAATAGAATTATCGTATTTTTTGTTCTTTTTCCGTACTACCATGTTTAAATAATAAATATATAAGTTAAATGTAGAATATTATAGCTAATAGATAAAATTATATTGTATAACATATTGTGAGGAATATTCTAATGCATAATAAGAGAACATATCTATATTATTTATTCAATTCTCTAGTTTTTATATTTTAAACGGTAAATTCTATTGAAACTAAGTGCATTGAACTCTTGCGGTATTTTGAAATATATTGTATTTAAAATTGCACAATATAGGTATGGTTCCCATTTAAATGATCTACTAGTGCAAAGTTGATGTATGTATAAATTTTTGTATAATTTTTAAATAAATTTAAGAAAGTAAAATATGGCATTAGTACCCGTAACTAGCGAGGCATCCTCATATTATGAAATAAGCGAGAAGGAAGCTATCACAGTTCAGAATAAGTTAATCAAAGAATGGAGACCACAAAGAGAAGTGTATGTAACCTTATTCTGTTATATACTATATCGATATTGTACTATTGTTATATCATGTTAAGAAATTTATTTCGTTCTTGTTATTTGCAATTTAAATATTATTAAAATATTATTGCTTTTTCAAGGTTGGCTTTAAGATATGGGGAACATATAGCAGGATTAATTGCTGGTGCAACTGGAATGTTAATTAATTCAATATTTAGAAAAAACTTGAAACTACGTCACCATGGTGCAATTTTTACAACAATAGCTCTAACAGCAACACCAGGATTTATTGCATCTATGAATCATAACTATGTATGTTTACTTGAAAAACAATATTGATTTGTTTTACAAACAAAAAGATTAATATAACAATAAAATAACAATTGCTATTTTCAGCTTATCACAAATCCCATACTGTTATACGAGAATAACTGTTCAACGTGTCTGTACTCCACAGCAAGTGTTTCAGTAAACCTTTGCGGTGTATTATTCCCTCTAATTACATCACCAACAATAAACCTTGCAGTAAAATTATTTTATTTCTCTCTATTTATTCTCATTAATATTGATATAATGTTAAATTTTCAACAATTTTATGTAGATTGCTTCAACTCTGGGATATAGAGTTCCTTATATATACGAAGTAAGAGAAATTTGCAAATTTTGGTGGAGTGCTGTTAAACCTAAGTCTAATTTTCTATTGCTTTCGTTAGTTGCCAATGCAATAATGATTAATATAATAGTCTACAAACAAATGCAGTCAATGGATAGAGTAACCGATATTATATTGAAGATTGAACAAGCAATTAATGATGGACTTATATCTCTAGAAACTATTACTCAATAAATTGTACTTATATGTAGATATATAAATAAATGTTTTTATCTAGAGAAAACTGATATCTATCAACTTGAGATTATTATAAAAACATAAATTATATTTTCCAACAATATTCTGCACATAACATAATGATACACTAATAGTAATTAACAAATTAATTTACATAAACAACTTATATAAAACAATTCTACAGTATTTATTTATCCAATCAGGATCAGTTTCAAAAGGAAATTTGGAGCAATAAATTCTGATAAAATTTTAGTGTTCATTTTTATATTAAATTAGATAGTAAATATCACAATCACTCGTCACTTTATAAATAAATTACACCAGTATTATAATTACAATAATTACACATTATGTACAAAGTATTAAACTCGAAGCAATTTTATTACACTATGTTTTTAAAGTACTCTTCTTATAAATCTTATTTCAACTAGAATATATGTAATCATTTTACAAATTATCAACTAAATGATCTAACCCATCTATTTTTTGGTAATTTCATATAAAATATTGTAAATATTGATATAATTTTGTTTAAAACATTCATAATGTTATAAAATTTGCCAATTTTATTCATTATAGGTCATGACTTTTCCACTTATGTTATAACAATTCTATTATAAACTGTTGTAATTTTGATACATGAAAAATTTACATGTTTATTCTTATTACTTTTAAAAATGATAGAATCATCTTTTATTGGTAAGAAATTAATGTTTATAATTGTACATACCATGTGTTCACATTAACTTCTTCCAATATATGACTGACAATAAATTACATTAATTTTACATGTACATTATAACTCTCTGGGCTGCAACTATAAATGCAGACATTAGTATGCTGGCTGGGCTGAACATATTAAGTACACTATGTATTTCTCGAGCAATTAACTAAGACAAAATCGTGAAGTAATAAAAACCGCGGTGACAGAAAAATGAAATGGCCATCATTTTGTGTAAATTAATTGAAAATACATTTATATATGCTATAAAAATACGCTCAAGACTGGATATAAATTTTCAACTGCATATATTCTAATTCTGAAAGGACATCGCCACCATACCAAAAGTTCTATTATCTTTATTAACAAATATATTTCATTATAAAGGACATAAGTGTGGAACATAAAAAGTGTAATAGGCACCACTGTAACTAGTATAAGATTAAGTTGAATTGTCTTTAGTACCGTTTTTGTCTTTGTATTCCACAATTCAAGGCTCTTTGTAAGAAGACATTGGCTATAATGATGATAATACAATGATAAAAAAAATTCTACATGTTTCCATAGAAACGAGGGATGTTTTTGTACAGATAATATAATAAAAGAATTAACAGATATAGAATATGATTGCATACATGCGAAATAATCAGATTTTACTATCGTAAAATCGTGTCGACTGGCCGTTATATTATTGCATTGATAATTATTATATTGCAAACAACAATTAAATGTATCTGTACTCAAATAACAAATGTTGCCAGTTATATGGCAAAAAAGGGATCCATTAACAGGACCCCAGGGCAGTTGCTAGCACCTTCGACTATGCCAATGTGTCATATAATCTTGATAGCTTACAGTCACCTTTTCACTCTGGTATCGCGTTAATTTCACATTACGTCTAATATCAGGAGTAACTAATCCTTTGTAGCCTCCTTTATGTAACAAAGAATCTATTGTTTGTATCTGGTTCCATCCTAAACAAGTGAAATTCTAACTTGGCAAAATACTTGCAATTGCTATTAGACTTACGAGTATTGTTACATAAATTATAATCTAATTATTAAATAAGTTATTAGTGCCTTGAATAATCATTACTTATTAGTACTGCTAAATAATCATGTAGAAAATAAAGTACAAACCTTGTTCTATGGCTACATCTGGCAAATATGTAGCAGTCCGTTTATTGCCCTTCTCATTATGAAATTCTATACGAATTCCATGGACTCCTACTATCCAGTCTAAATAATCTGCACCATCTTCAAAATGCCGAAGTATAGAAACACTTACATGTAAACGTGGAAATTCCTCCAATGTTATAGGATTAAACCTTGAATCCTTAAAAGCACTGTAAAAAATAATGCTTTAAAATTTTTTTATAAACTATTATTCCTTTTAACTGTAAACTTTTACCTAGTGGTGGCATATTCCCGTAATCCTGCATGTAAATGCATTGCATTAAATGTACCAATGCAACCTCTTAATCTCATATCCTTGCCAATAGTCCAGGTTACAAATAAAGGGCTTTAAAGTTAAATATACATACTATGTTAATATGTACATAATGCAATAGTAATATCATATTAATACACTTTTAATTAGCTTAACATGAAAACCTATTTAAATACAAAAATACTAAAATAAATTAATGTAAAATCATACATTATGATAAAGACAACTATTGAAAAACCTAATTGAAATTATAGATGTACTTGTATCTAAGCAATTATTATTTTTATCTAGGCCCTGAAACATAAATATACATGTACCGTAATGATTTTATTGGTCTTTAAATTAATATCGATTTCCGCATATACAGAGTGTATTAAAAATATTTCAAAAGCTATTTACAAGATCACGTTCACAATGTAACTATTATAACCTTTAGATAAAGTCGTAAACACGAAATGTAAATATTTCTAACTAAACATGTGGAAAATAATATATAAGAAATACTAAAAATGTATCAGAAATTAAATATTCAAAGAGTTGAAGTAATAAAGAATAGAATTCTGCGAAAAAAATGAAAAAGGAAAGTAGACAACACAAAGGAACATCAATAATACTCACAAAGCTTCGTTACTGAAGTTGGGTGGTTTTGGTGGGTCAAGTTGGTGCAGTTGGCAGTAAAGGATGTCGAAACAATAAAAGCCCATCTCAGGCTGAACTATTATAGAGTTCCGAGTATGAATACCATTCTGTAAACTTACGGTATTGTTACGCGGAGCACTAGTAGTATCGTTCAATTTTTGCTTTTTCGTTCCACAATAACTAGCTGCCATGTTTTCTTAGTTAACTCCTCCAAATATGCGATCGGTTTCCGTATCGTGCATTTCGTTCATTCGTTACCATTGCATATGAAATTATAGTACGCGTTCCGCCAGATGTCTCACTATTCGAAAAAACAGCTGTTTCATTGCCCGCTATTTTTCCAACGAATATTAATGGTCTATTTGAAAATTTCATTTTAAAAGATTTCATTAATTTGCATATTCTGTACATTCAAATGCAATTAAATAACACGTTACTTGTTAACGTCAACGTACTTTTGAAATACAGTTGATTAGCAAATATTTTATAGTGATATTTTTTATCACAGTACATAATTTAATTTTCTCGATTAAATTCGATTATTCCTGAATTAAGCGTGGAAATATCAAATTTGATGTAATAAAATTACACATAAGAAGAAAAGGGTAATGATAATAGTAATAATATAATTAATTTGATGATATAAAATTTTTATTCATTTAATCACGAACTTTTAATGTTTGATGATTTCATGTACAAATATCGGACTTTTTTTTAATTATAATCGCAAATATTTTCGTGGTTGTATATACATTACTATCTAATATTACTATTTAAATTAATTCTGTGAAAAAAATGATTTCAATTATTTGCGCAAAAATTTATTGTGTATAGGAAAACATTATTGTGTATAGTTATATATGTCTTATATAACTTTGTATCCTTTACATTACTCTATTAATGCACAAATATTAATTCAACATAAATATCAAAAGATGTAAATCTGTTTTGTAATAACATTTTTCTCTTTTGCACATACATATGTTATCTTTTCTCTCTCCCTTGGATTATATCATTAGTAATTTTTATAAATGTTAATATGAAAATTTATTCACACTGAATGCTCACTTTATTTTCACACAAGGAATTAAGATATTCTATTGTCACAAATCGAGCATATGCAAGTATTTTTCAAATACTAGGTACTATTTAAGTATACAACTGGCAGTTAGTTGGACATCACATAATGCTGGATAAATAATACGTAATAAAAGTAAAGCAAACATATATTTCAATAAAAATAATTACCAAACTATAAATTAAGAACAATAGTCTCCCTTTACATCTATAAAATACTTTTACTAAAATAACAACAGCAATGAATAAATTGGCAGTGTATGAAGGTAGCTAAGTGAAGGTTGATGAATAAAAAACGTAAAAATATTAACACGTGGAAGAACATATTTTACTCTATTTTGATAATAGCCAAATGCATTTGTTTCATTCATTCGTTTTAGCGTGTTATAATTATGTGTCACATCAACAAAAATAGAGTAATAAGATAAGTATGTTACAGAAAGCAATAGCAATTCTATTCATGTTTTATGAGTCACAGAATATTAAAATCACAATGAGATCGTCACATTTTCACTTACAACTATATTACAACTATTATTAATGCATTTCAATAGTCATAATGCAGTCCATTGCTTATTTACAGTAGAGGTCTGATCCTATAAATTTTTATCACACTGGCATTTCCTTTAAGAGTATTATCTAAATTTTGTAAAACAAGCTTAATTTTGAATAATTTCTAAACAGTTACAATGATATCAGTTAATTTAAATAATTGTAATTATTCACAAAGAATTACATTTTTGTGTACTAATATATTTATTAATATAAAGAATCCTTTGCTGTAATAAAACGTTGGACTATAATATAACTAGTTACAAAACTTCAATGTAACAATGGTATAAAAAAATGAAATAGAAATATAACAATCACTTATCATTGACCAAATACTACACATTATTGAGGACATCCACATTTACACACCTCAGTAAATCAACATAAATAATTACTTGCCCGTAACATAATAGAAACCGTTTATTTATACCATTAGTACAAAGAAATTTGAATTAGTAAGTTAAAAATCAG